AATGGATTGGTATATAAATGGTTATGTTCTGTGTTTGACTGAATGGAAAAACCAGTCCAATTTGGTAGACCAGGCGCCGCCGTGTGCCTCATCGAGTTGGGCCTCGAAGTACTTGAGCGCCTCATCGCTTCCCTTCTCCACCTGCAAAGTCTGTCGCAAATAACTGATGTCTTCCATTGACTGCAATTCCGGAATACCGGTCGACAACATCATTGTAAACAACGCTATCAATAGATTGGCGTTTTGGTGGAGCGCCAGATATGCCCGACCGCACAGTTGCTGAAAACTATTACACCATTTATTCATATATTAATTCTCTATTATAAATGTTAAGTATTTAGTTTTCAGTCAAACACTTACGCTTCAAATTCTTTACTCTTGAGAGGATTCTCTGATCCCTTGGAAATCACTTGAAGGAAATCGTAGGTCAGAACAAAGGGAACCCTTTCTCTATTGTATCCGAATTTTTTCTTAAAGTGACCCAAAAAGTGGCCGAAGTCTATGTGAAAGATCTGTCCGTCTTCTGTGATCATAATGTTATCGGGGTTTCGATCGCCGATTCCGAGTATGAAAGTGGCCACACAATAACCCGCACACGACTTCGTGAAGTTGTCGACAGCGCTGTTATACTTGTCTTTGTTTTTATCTTTAATCCATTTGTTCAGTTGACTCGAGTCCACCTGAAGGGCCGCCTTAAAGCCACCGCTCCGTTGAATATTCATAACAGTCTTCGCATTCCTCACCACTTCAATCATTCCGACCTGTTTTCCAGTGGCCAGACATGTGTACGGAAGCATCTTTAGGTCCAGATTCTCGCGACGCCATATCAGGTCTATTATACGAATCACTTGCAATGTCAACATGTCTTGTCTTAAGTCGTCGCCATTTTTAAAGATAATGGCATTCGTTGGGCAAGAGATGTGTGCCATTGGGTCGGGATTTGACCAAACGAGCCAAAGGGGCCGTTTGGCTGAGTCCATGATTCTGCACTCTTCGACTGATATCTGGCCCAAAATAAGACTACTGTTCAAAGGGTTTGGCAGTTGTTGTAGAGCTTCTAAATAGTCGGCTTGTTTTATGTAATTGGAAAGGAAACGGAGTCTGTCTTTTTGTGTCTCGTCTTTGCGTTCTTTCAATACATCCGTCAGTTTCTCGAGTTTTTCGAGAGCAGCCACTTGTCTGACCATTGAATGCAAACTATCGAAAGGCAAACCACGACAATAGGCCTCTAATAATATACCACAACGTAATGAATGCAAGGGTTCGTACATTTCGGACTTCAAATGCCAGAAGAAGAAGTGACCGATCCTTTGATTCATGAGAGACCGACTCAATAAGAAGTCCGACAATTGATTGTCATAATAGGGCTCTTTCTTAAGCACTTGAACTAATTGTAGCAAATATTGTAGTAAATGATCGTCAGTGAGGCCCTCGTCTAACCACTTGACAGCACACGATCTCACCTTCAAATCAGCGTATTTACAGTCTAACAACTCTAAAGCGGTCTCCACTTTAATAGTCGACCAGTTCTTGAGGAGTAGATATAGTTGTGAGACTTCATCCCTTGAGTTCCATTTGACCGCATCTAACAGTTTTGGCAATGAATCGGGAATTGTAGACAAAGTGTTGCGAAACCTCCACAACGAGTCCTTTTCCTGTTCGGAGAGTTCGGACAATGGATCGCGTCGTAAGATTTCTGGCAATTGAGACATCATTTCACGCAACGAAACCGGGTCTTCGCTGTCATAACGGGAACTGCTCTGGGAATCGGATAAACCGCTCAATTGATTCTTCGTCTGGCATTTCTTGATGAAAAGAGCGTAATTTTCAATGACTTGGTCGGGCGGGTAGACCACCGGCGGTACAAAACGGTCGAACTCTATTTGAAGACATGGCGAGTCTTTGTTAGGGTTCGAGCCATTCATACCTAAAGGGTTGAGCAAATCGTCGTATCCCTTAGGCATTGGCCACAAATGAATACTGATTTTGTCGCTTAGGAATCGGCTCTTGAAGTCGATTAACTGCATATTACCAAAAGCGATGGCATAGTGTTCTTCCTTACGCTTCCTGTAAGTGACCGCACATATAGACAGACATAGTCTCGCGTTTCGAGGAATATCCGGTATAAAGAGATCGAATTCAAGCGTTTCATTCCAACGGGGATTCTGTGGCACAACATTCTGTGTGTGCTTTTCCTCACACAGGGCTTCCGCGCCGTGATATATGCCTGCCTTCACGTAAATGCTGTCCACATCTCTCACATTGACATAAGTGGCAGAAACCACACGAAATCGTAGGAAAGACTCGATTTTCCACAAAGACATCAATTGATTGTTCTCTAAGCCATTCATAATGTCTGGATTTTGGGAACCAATGCTTAAAGAACCGGTTCTTCTCAAGAAAGAGGACATAAGAAATGAACTTCGGGGCACTTTTTCATTGAGTTCACATTCTTCAACCAAAAGCAATTGCGGCACTTTTGCCTGTGATATACACGACCGGATGTACTGCACCGCAGATTACATATAAATAAGACAATCAATCAATTAATCAAAATATTTTTCAAAGTATTAAACATACGGTATATCTGTATAAGTGATAGTTTCCTAACAAGTATTGTTCAAATCCACAAATTTTGAGCACAAATCGGTCTTTATTTTGTTGAACGAAATCCTCGACTAAAGTTTGGGACTTGAATTTGACTAAAGAGAGGACATGAGAGATGAGGTCAGAGCACGAGTATTTGGGATCCACTTGTAAAACATGGGATTCACTCATTTGATCGGCAAAAGTAGTCCAAACATTCAGTTCGAGTAACTCTTTTGTTTGGCTATCATTAGTCATGGTTTCGTCCAATTCTGGAGGAAAGGCGTAAAACACCCTTTGCTGAAGAGGTAGTGATTCCCTGCGATCGACAATACGGCGACAGATTGTCTGAATGTTTCGGCGAAACTCAATCACTTCGGGCTCTTTGATTGAGTCGAATTCGTGAATGGCTTTACCGATGGCTAAACTCATCTCAGAGGACAATATCTTCTCCTCTTTGTTACCTTCGGGTTCAACGAGTTTAAGGATCGGCTCAAAGAGCCTTAAGTCGCAAAGTCTTCGGGACTCGTCGTAAAACTCCTCCACTTTTGAGTCCTGAGTGACGGACACAAAGATATAACAATTCATCTCATTTAGGGTCCGATAGAAGACATTCTTCTTCGCTTCGATCCATAGATTGGCTTTAATTGTGTCCAAAGAGGACTCTCTGTTAGCCATCACTTCAATGAGCAATCCGTTGGGCATTAAGACATCGATGGCTAATGAGTTGGGCATCAGATGTCGGCCCCAGAGTTCATGCCGCCAGCCGTGTCCAGACCCTCGGTATCACAGTCGCGAAGAGTTCGTCACCGGTCACTACAGATCGAACCCTACTTACGTACCTAGTGTAGTACACTGGTTAACAAACCGTTTGTTAGTGAAGTATAGTCAATTCACTCATTAATGAGAGCACTATTGAGAGCAGTAGTCATAGCATTGATAGCACTGAACGTCATTAGCGTTTGGCGTAAACAACAAACACTCATTCAATGCATTCACACAACACTTGTGTCACAACACATCCGTTTGTATGGCTTTCCAGCACTGCCTGCAGTACAACAGTACAACTTATTGATGCAATCTTTCCTATTATTCCTATTACTCTATTTGACTCAATTATTCGGTTCATGTTTCCAATGTCTGACTTAAGAATCCTTACTATAGTTAGCAATACTTACAATAACAACACATATTAATATCATAATATGCCTCTCAATATGAATATCACTCGTTACACCTATTGTACCAGGGTGGTTCTATCTATTCATATTGGATTCATTGCCATTTAACCACAATTTAACCATCCATAATCATTATTCAATTTTAGCCATTAATTATAATAATAGACTTAATTTGATTTATCTTTTAAACATAAATTTAGTTTATTATTATAATAATTAAATATTTTAATATTATTCAATAGAAATAGTATTAACAATAGAGAGGAGGAGGAGGAGGAGGAGGAGGAGGAGGAGAGAGAGAACGGCGGTCGGCACAGGTCTGGGAGCCATAGTGTCAGCGCTTCTCAAGCAGTGGCCAGTGATGTCTAGCTTGGGATGAATGCATGGATCACATCATGTGACCAATTGTTTGGCAAACAATCACTTCATCAGTCAATTCACTCATTAATGAGAGCACTATTCAGAGCAGTAGTCATAGCATTGATAGCATTGATAGCAGTGAACGTCATTAGCGTTTGGCGTAAACAACAAACACTCATTCAATGCATTCACACAACACTTGTGTCACAACACATCCGTTTGTATGGCTTTCCAGCACTGCCTGCAATACAACAGTACAACTTAATTATGCAATCTTTCCTATTATTCCTATTACTCTATTTGACTCAATTATTCGGTTCATGTTTCCAATGTCTGACTTAAGAATCCTTACTATAGTTAGCAATACTTACAATAACAACACATATTCATATCATAATATGCCTCTCAATATGAATATCACTCGTTACACCCATTGTACCAGGGTGGTTCTATCTATTCATATTGGATTCATTGCCATTTAACCACAATTTAACCATCCATAATCATTATTCAATTTTAGCCATTAATTATAATAATATACTTAATTTGATTTATCTTTTAAACATAAATTTAGTTTATTATTATAATAATTAAATATTTCAATATTATTCAATAGAAATAGTATTAACAATAGAGAGGAGGAGAGAGAGAGGGAGGAAGAGAGAGAGAGAGAGAGAGAGAGAGAGAGAGAGAGAGAGAGGACTGAAAATTACTTTTATCAAGTTTTATGAAAGCTTTTTAAAAATATAAGAATTGAATAAAAAATGAATAAAACCAAAGAAAACTCAAATATAACACTGATTTAAATCATTATTTTCTGTTTGCTTTTCTTCGCAATTGTTGTCTTTGTTAATACGATTGAATCGAGAGGTCTTAGACTTGATCTGACCGGCGAGTAAAGGATTGATAGCATAAAGCCATTCGTGAACTTCTTTATCAGAATTAGTTTGCATTAAAAACCCGCTATATTTGGTTACAATGGAAAAGACATTCACAACTTTAAGCATCTGTTTTTGGTCTTCTGAACACTCTATCAAAGCGTTGGACAGATTAATGACATTCTTTTCGAGCGCATCCTTTTGGTCGTCATATATGAAAAGATACGGTCGTTTCACAACAACCCATCTCTTGACCCAACATCCAGTCCTATCCTCTAAACAATTTAAGTAACCCTTCTTTGAGATGATAGGACTGACTCTGATTTCTTCAATTTCTGGAGCAAATGTTGGCTTCACATCTGTTCCCAACAATTGTTCATTTTGTAATCCGTCGTCCAATGCTTGGGTCGACATATTATTTGATGTCCTCTTCAGCCAATTAGAGGCACTGATAGACTTGTCGGGCGATAAGATATCTGGACTCGAAGACATGGAAGAAATGGTCAACTCTTCGTTAGTTGGCGTTTGCAATGAATTTTTCTTAACCGTTTGTGGCGGAGGTTTAGACGGGATATGCGTTTGGATTAAATTAACACATTTAAGGCAAAGATCCCTTTCATTGTCAGTCATATCCCAGGGCTCATAGAGTGCGTCGATGGCTCCCAACTGAGTGGCCGTCGGATTTGTCGGTGAGGCTAATATCAGACTCAATCGACTGCTACTGGTTTTCATTGCCGAAGTGAAGTTAATGTCATCAAAACTACTTTCGTCGGTATTATTCAACCGATCCTTCACTAGTAATTTATGTCTCACTTTTTCCACTTCTTCGATGCGCTTAATCTTTTCGAGTTCCCACTGATGATCAAATATGAGTGAATCTCCTCTCGGTTGCCATCCCTTCAGGTTTTCCTCTCCTCTCACATAAGCGGTGGAAGTGTCCAAAACTCTTCGTTGTCTTCGTTGAACTCCAGGACTTCCCGAATCGACAGCTCTTTTCAAGACAAGTTCATAGACAGAACTGATATGATTAGAATTGGCGTCTCTATAGGCGCCGCTCAGAATATTCTTTAACACTTTGGTATTGGGTGTCAATCGAGGGAATGTTCGCGCGTCTCGACCATAGAGTATAAGACAAAAATCTTTTGTTATTATCGACGGTTGTGTACAGTTCTCCAGCTATTAATTCAATTAAATGAGATTTGAGTAAATCATAAGCTTATGACATATAAAATGGGAATAAATACCTCTAAATAGGAAGAAATGGTTAAATAAATGCGTTCGCCATAAGGAGTGACTCTATTAAGTAGTAGTGAGTTGTGAAGTGATGTATCCCAAGCGGCCTCAAAACGATATACATTTCTATTATTCAATTTCTCTAAATATTCTCCACCGAAAAGACCCAAAGATATAATGGATGAGTCACTCTCGTCGTCAATGTCCAGACACTCGGCCTGAGTTCTGATCCGTCCGATCACTACTTCGCGAATATCTTTAAACACAACCTCAGAGTCGGGTTCGTAAACAATAGTGATCCGAATTCTGCGTTGAATGCCCTGATGGAGGAGGAATGTGCCCCTACAGGGCGTGTCGTCGTCGTGATCGACAACAACCGGATTGTATTCTCCATTTGGAGCCAATTCGCAGATTTCCATCCAAACTAATAAATCATATTTTGAATACACGAGTGCAGAGCTCAGAGATGTGGACAAACACGTGAACTTTTGAGATTTGATCGGCAAAGAAATGGGAACCGATTGCGGGAACATATGTCGCGGCGGCGGACGAACCGATCTAAACAATTATATGAAACATTTTATATAATAAATATTTTCTAGTTTTAAGTTCAATTCATACGAATTTTGTCCGGAATTGACAATGAAATCTCTGTCGTCTTTGGCCTCTTTGTGGAGCGGGTGCTGTTGATAGTGACCAAAGATCTCAAAGACAATTGGATGCAGTCTTAGGTATTCAACGAAAGCTTTGGTCACCGTTACTGTTATATTCTGGACGCGGAAAAATCCGGGCGCCGGACCTTTGCCCGTGTTTTTGATGGGTTCAGTGGAAAAGGCCTCGTCGTGTCGGTGCAGGAAATTGAATTGACAGAAGATATCGCCATAATCTTTGGATATACCGCTTATTTGAAGTATTGTTACTCTAAACGTAAATTCCTTATCTTCTTGTAAATGTTGTCCGACTTTATTCTCGTAATCAACATTCAGTTCATAGTTATTATTTTGCTGGTCATCTGTGGTCAAGCTATCCCTCGTTTCTCTGCCCGAATTGAACAGAGTATTGGCCTCTTTTTGTATTTGATACTTCTTCTGTATCTTAATTAAAGCTTCGTCGCTGTCATCGAAGTTGATTCGCGCCGATTGTCTTATAGCACAAGAATTCTCAGATATGTTCATCTCGTCGTCATCTAATCAACGAGTTTTACAAATAATTAAATTTAGTTTCAAGTGATGAATACAATATCAAACCTCCGACTGTTTGAATGGCAACTCTGAGGTATCCCTTGACGTCTCCCTTTTCATTAACAATCGGCACTTTCTGTATGAGACAAACCGGATATAAAAGACTCGACAAATAGACATATGTTCTGCCGATGAGTCTAAACCAGGGAAACCTATCATAGAAGGGATCGCCACCAGAAGTGGACTCAATGAGACCGCATTCGGTCGGCGATAGTGGAGAACATTCTTCGTTTTTATACATTTCTCGCATCGATTCTAATCTTTTCCTAAAAATTTACACAAAAAATAAGTTAAAAGCAAATAATTATTTGAAAGAGAAAAGTAAAATAATTGAGTCCTATAGAGACCTGTCTTCAATAAATACAGGACTTCTTAGCTTTTGTGCTGCAATTGTGAGGCATTGCAATAAATAGTCGCTTTTTGTCGGTTCGACAAAATAGTTGTAATAAATATGTCGCATAAGCTCCAGACGGTGTCTGTGTCCACAACATATATCATAGAAATCCCAAAATTTCCATTTCATTACTCGTTTTGAGACAACGAATTGCAGACAAAGAATATTGTATTCAATCTTTAAATTCATGCAAACATGCGATACAATTAACTCAAAGATTGAATAAATTGAGGCAAAACTGGAGCTTATGCTTAGGTAAATGCATTGACTCGAGTTCTGGACTAATAACTAATAATTAAATTAACTTAATATTTATTGTGAATAATTATAATAAAGCAAAAATAAAATGCATTCTTTGTCTACAATTAAATCATAATTAAATCAATAAATAGTGAAAATATAAATATTAACCTCAATTTATTGAGAGACCAGTAATGTGTGGCCCCGTTCTTCAAGTCAGTCACTTCGACGGCAACGATAGTCCGGGGAAACGGTCTCTCGTCTTGTTTCTCACAGGAGTCGAGTTCATCATAAGTGGTGATCATCTCAGGAGGAAGTGGTGAAAACAACGTATCGGTGAGCAAAACAAACTGAAACTGAACCCTCTTCTTAAGCTCAACAGAGATAGCGTTTGCCTCTTTCAAGAAGATAGCGTTTCCCCACAAATCGTCTCTAAGACTAGTGAACTGATGGTATTTCCACTTCTTTGCCGCTCTCTTTGCAATATTAATCTCGCGTTCAGTCCATACATATTCTTCAGGAAAGACTTCGTCGTCAACTAATTTGCATTCATTAAGTGTGGATATTGTGGACGCGTATAATGAAGACATTGTCATCGATTGTTCATTGACTTGCTGTTGAAGTCTTTCGATTGTCTGCTCATAATTTTTACGCTGTTCTTCGAACAGCTGATCCGCCTCTTCCTTCTCCTTCTTGTACTGTTCCTCTAAAATAACCAATTTTTGCTCCATTTCTGACTTCAAATCGATTCCCTGTTTCTCTAGTAATTCCAACTGAGCGTACGTCCAGTCGACGGCCTGTAAGGGACCGCTGGGCTGTTCAGTACAGGGCGAGCGGCGATCTCTGTTTTCTCGGGCCTGAGTCGGGTGTTGGAAACGAAAGACGTGATACTTTCCCAGTATAACTCGGGATCCGGTTTTGATTTCCAGCGGTCGCTCCACTTGTTTGCCATTCACAAAACAAAGAGCGTCTTTGCATGGAATCAAAGTGACCCTTCCGTTCCTGTTTTCGAAGATACAGTGCTCACTGATTACATGCGTCCCATTGAGTCTAATGTCTTGGGGCACCGATGCGTTTGACTGACCCACTCGTGTAAACCCATCCTTAATATAGTATATCAAACACTCAGACATAAGCGGGTCTTCGTTAAGGTTAACCAAATGAGGCGTTTCGCTCGGAGAGAACACTCCGACCGCATCGCCGTCCTCTCTGGTCGCGACTCCCATCTCAGCCAACGCTGTCTCCCGTTGTATACGAATCGCTTCAGTCTTTCTGAGCTTTTGTTCCCACGTTTCGTTCAATTCAAGCATCAATTTTTCGCTTTCCTGCAACTGTTCCATAGCGTTCTCACTCACTATCGACACCGAACCACTTCTTCGTTGGTGATCCGCCTGAACAGAGATCGGACATCCATTCTCTTCTAAGTCGATGCCTTCCGTTCGCAATAAAGCTCTGAGTCTTGAGATCTCATCCTTGAGTTCTCGTATGATTTTGGCGTTTGCGTCCTCATTGATCACCGCTTTGCACACTATCTGTTTCGCTCTATCGGCGTATCGAAGGGTACTTAAAGTCTCCTCATAATTAATATCCGCCGGACTCAACGCCGCAATCATTGCTGTCTTTGAATTTCCTCCTTTAAAATAATCAAAATTTAATTTTAATTATTTGTTTTCCTATATATTATTCAAAAAATACCTAAATTTTCCCTTAAAAGCCAAGTGAGTGATGAATCTCTATATGGAATAAAATCATTTTTCTTCTTCTTTTTCATTGCCTTTTAAAAGAAAGTTTTATAACTTCAATGTTCAATGCATTGCTGAATGAGTTAAACTTACCGACTTTAGTATTATGGAAAGGCAATATTTAATAAATAGAAATATATTTATAAATATTAATATAACATTGGATAAAAATTTCTATAATCAATATTATATTATGCATAAAGTATTACCACTTCTGCGAGGGCTGAGATTACTTTTCCGAGTGTTGTCAATGACTTATTAATATTAGCGCCTATTGTGTGCAAAAATAACAGAATTGGTGTCAAGAATAAAATATGGGAATAATGCAAACCTTCTTTAAGTCGTGTCCCCTGAGCGCCGGTTGCGTCCGCACGTTCTGAGCCTATAGTAATGATGGATATAATGTAGTCATGAAAATATTCACAAATTGATCATTGAATGCATTACCCGCCAAATCAACCAAAGATATTTTGCTAACTTTTTCACTCGCGAGACCAGTCATACTGTCTTCTCTTAGTTGAGTGAACACTATTGTAAAGACAGCGTGCGATCGACTGCTCGTTTCATTCATGTTGGTTGAGGCGACAGTTCTGTATATTAAATACATTGTTTTATATAATGAATGGATAGTTAGATGATATGATATTGAATACCTGGCTTTGTTTCCTTCGTCCATAATATCGCGAATGTCCTCATATGAGGTGACCGCCAACTTTGACAGGTCTTCAACATAGGGTCCGAGCACTGGGTGTTCGCGAACACGTAATGAGCCCTTATTCTTAGGGTTCAATAGATCTCTGACGCGTTCGCAATATATCTCCATATAAGAGACTTCGACGGAATACATCACTTGATTATTGTCTTCGCATTGGATTCGATGGAATAGGTCTTTGCAAATGTGAGGAATAATGCCCTCGTCGTCCTGTTTACCCATCATTGTATAACTCTTACCGCCACCGGTCTGGCCGTATGCGAAGATACACACATTATAGCCCTCGAAAGCGTGTACTAACATCTCTTCTCCGATGTCTCGATAGACCACTTCTTGGTCCGCGTAATTGGGATCAGAAGAATCGTGAGACCAATACGAGTAATCAAATGTAAATGTCTTATAAGTGTCCGTTATTTTTGGGTTAGATATTGCTATTTATGACACAAATGGGCAAAACATTAATTAATGTCAAACAGAATTTAATAAACAGTAAGTCATTAATCAATTTACTTGTCGTTTGGCCGGTCATTGAGATTATGTTTTTGCAATTATAACTGTATTCCCTATTATTGAAGGGTCGGACGCGAACCGCAACTTTTACTGACGACATCCTCACTGTTAACGCTGAATAAATTTATAGTATATTAAATAATAATAATATAATAAATTAATAACTATTATAATAAATTAATTAATATTATATTTGCTATTAATATGAATGAAAGAACTATTCATTTAATAACTAATAAGTATTCGCAATAACTGATAGAATATTATATTAATATTAAGGGGCAAAATGTCTTCACTGCATAACTTGTTAAAAATCTACATTGAAATCAATGATTTTAAATTCATTTAAAATATACATTAAATAAAAGAAATGTATATTACTAAAAAAATATAATTAATAAATTATATATTAAGTCATTAAGAAAGTAATATATAATAAAAGCTCACATTCTTTGGTTAACGGATCCTTTATTCAGATCTGTTTGAGATGTAAATCAATATAATATTTAATAAAACGATTCAAAAAAATGTCATAATTTAATCACTAAATTATTTATTGAAAAACAATGGAATCACAAATATTGCTGCAAAATATGTTTAATATATGATATATTATGAACAAAAATATTGTGAATTGAAAGCAAATCAATAATGAATGGCAATCATAGCATTCATACTATGACTTCGCAGACAAGCCGTAATGTTGATGGCTCTCATGCTATGCTCTATCTGTTCACTACACTATACACTGCATAGAGTGTATGCCATAGACTTAACTGTGCTCTAAATGTGTGGCTTTGGATGACGTCTAGAAAACAGAAGTCATGACAAAGCTATGGATTGGATCAATAAATATGATTGTAATTATGATATCATAAAAACCGGTTCATTGTATATGAGTTTCTTTTGTTAAACTTTTATTTCATTATTATGTAAATTTTATTTTTAAATAAATAGTACAATTATTGTAAATGTTTTAAATCTATTAACACCATTGAATTAAATTGATATAAAATATTCTTAATGTAAGCTTCAGCATGGTTAATGTAATGACAGAATGTAGAAGTAGAGTATGCTATGTAATTGGGTTTAATGTTAAGCATTCTTCCTTCTTAATCAATTATCTATTTATGCAGTATATCTTATTTTTCATTCAATGTATAATATACTAGATTTATATTTAACAACACATTCATACTGTACTGTATATACGGTAATATACTAACGATATTAATATTTAATTGCATAAATATTGAATCATTTTATAAAATCATTACCATCCTAAATCGTAATACGGTAATGCATCAAAATTAATGTTTTTATCTAATTATATCATGGCAATTAATCTTAAATTCCGTTTTTAAAGTTTAATACAAATTTTTATAAAAGAAATATTGTTGATTACATCAATAGTAGATTCACTATTTTATAATTCTATAGCAAATATTAAAATATGGTAAAACACTTCTTTTCATAATAAGTTTATTTTGTTTTTATTCAAAATATTGTAAATAAATAATTGTATTATTGATTGGAAATAAGAGTCTGAAGAGACAATTCGAGTGCAGAGCAGGGCTGCGACAGATCGAAATTAGTGATCACTTGCGGGTGCAAAACACCCATTACTCCAACCACTTTGTCGTTGACCACAATCTCCGCACAACGACCCGTCAGAAAACGGCAATCTATTAAATCAATTAATATATTATTTAAATATTATCTAAAACTAATTGACTGTCAAACCATTTGCAGCTCTTATGAAATATCCGGCGCCGCCCTTATTGGCAGAAAAGGGAATTTCCAAAACTTGTAGAATTCTGTCCAACAATCCATGAATTATCTCAAAACCAGGGTTTTTGTTGTAATGAATAGCAGACAAATAGCGCTCATTCTTAGCGCCCACTTCTAAATAAGTGGAAATATAATTGTTATTTATTAACATTTATACGACAATCGGTTCATACCTTCAGAACCGTCTTTAAGAATAACATCAGAAATTTCAAAGAGTTTGAGCGGAAGAGGAATATTTTTGTTAGAGTAAACGGTTTTGAGAAGTCCTGGCAATAGTGAAGTGCGTCCGACTTGAAAGTCATACGTTTTGGGGTTCGATATGTGAACCGCTTTCGAGAGGGAATCCTTTCGTCTCATTTTCTCTCCGATGTCATCGCGAGAGCACTAAAAACACAAACAAAACGGACATTAATTCACGTTTTGCTGACAAAATCAATACAAATATATATTACAAGAGAAAATGTAAGGATCTCTGTATAACCACATCTCGCGATCTCGTATCTCAACTGATCGGTCACTTTGTTTATGAAAAACTGCTGACCAATGGTTTGGGTTTTGGGAACAGTGAACTCGATGTTATTATATCCGTAAGCGATTCCCACGTCTTCTAATATATCGCAAGCGTGAAGTATATCCTGACGGATAGGAGGGATTCGCACTTTAATCAACTGATCCGACAATACTTCAGCGCCTAAACTCATTCGTTGTATTAATCTGCTAATCTGTTGAGCATTTTGTCTATAAAATATTCAGTTTATAATTTAGTACCAAATAAACACTACTCTTATATTTTTATATACTTAATGCCCAAATTTGTGTTTATGTAATCAACTGAAACAGTTTCCTCTCGATATTTCAATGCCTAAAACACAAATTTTATTACTTAAATACCATAAGCTTTTTAATTAATAACTTACTGGTAATAAAGCCCGAGATGTGTCCGATTGGGTCACTTCAACACTTTCAACACTAATTAATTAAGACATTAATAATACGCTAATATATTCATCCGCCAAATTGCAAGTGAAACTTACGTAAACTTTTGCTCACAGTATTCACTGAACATTGAGACAAATGTATCCAAAACTAGTTGAGCTTTATGTAAGTCCGTTGCAGTCATTTCAATGAAGATATTCTTAGTTTTGAGCGTTATTTTACTGAAATCGCCTAAAAGTATAACAATTCTTAATATAGAATAATGTTATAACAATTATATTTCTCTGTATTACCGTTTATAATGGGAGGCATTGATAGCACGACATTGTTTTGGTCATAGATTACGGGATAGACGGGACTGTCTTTTATTATATGCAGAAATGGTTTCAAGTGATCGTCAGTCTTAATAACAATTGATTTGATAATTAAAATATTTCAAATTTAATTCACATTTTTTGCTCACAGAATATAAATCCATGAGTTCTGTGGCCGTGTATTCTTTGGTCTGTTTCAAAGGTCTGAATTTGATATCATTGGGAACTCTCGCGTCGTAAAAGAAGGGACCCTTAATTGTGTCCAAATCGTGAGCACCAATCGCTACAAGTGATCGCTTTCTGTATACAAACAATAAGTTAATTCAAAATATCGCTCAAAATGTGTGCAAAAAACCTGCAAAGATTTTGGTGAAGTTTTTCCTGCAGATCAATGAAACTTTCGTATATTTCTTGAGTGAAATGAATGCCTCGAAGAATAGCTGCCACAGCATAGGGACGCACTTGCATTGTCTGAAACGGTTCCGCGTATTCACTCAATGTTTATTTGACTACAATTTCTATGCATTAATAATACATACATTTGGAAGGACTATAAGCTGTTGTAACTTTCCCTTCGGGGGCTCAACGGACCGATATTCGGGTATTTCAGCCCTATTTTAATAAGAAATTACTAATTGTTAACTCATAATCATATAATGGATTCGTTTATATGAGACATACTTTCCGAGGAATATAAGAAGCGCCCGAACCAGACCTTCAATACACAGCAAATCATAACTAAAAGGAAAATATAAAAATGATTAAATAATGTTTGCGACGATAAATCACTACAAGTCTACCGATTGGCTGGTATTTCAATCCGATATAACACGTCCTCTGAAGCGCCTTTCGAGCGGTCCATTCCCTGCTCTTTGCTCTTTATTTGCTTCTCTGATGTCTGACATAAAGACAAATGTAATGCTTGATTGTTATGGTAAATGTGGGATCACTTACCACTTCATCCAACTCTATGCCAAACTCGAAGCACAAGTTATCAAATTCTTCCTCAGCTATAATTCAATCATTTAAAACATACGTTAATTCATTCAATAAGACTATGGTTTGTGTCGACACTCACTGAACTGTGTGTCCAAATCTATGCCAAACTCGAAGCACAAGTTATCAAATTCTTCCTCAGCTATAATTCAATCATTTAAAACATACGTTAATTCATTCAATAAGACTATGGTTTGTGTCGACACTCACTGAACTGTGTGTCCAAGAGTCTGAACAGTTGGTCCCGATTGACGTTAATTGTGGGCATTATGTGAATCGATCACTAAATTGGTCTCTAATTTAATAGTTTACGCAAAGACAACAACAATTGCATCACTCGTCCAATCAATGCCTCGCAAAAACGTGTCCAAACAATCGACACTACATTTGTGTACGTCTTCTATGAATGGACCCACGATTTGGACACTAATTGATTGAAGAATTGAATGTTTTTTCAAATCAATTGATATTTGAATTGAAATACAATTGAATTAAAAACAGTAAATATTGAGTGATTTAATTGGAGATGAGTTCACAGACCGACAGATCTGAAGACCAAATGGGGAGACAATGGGATAAATTTATCTCCAATTCAGTGCTCAAAATGGGTTAGTATTTGACATGAAGTGAATTGATGTGATAATTGATGAGTTAATGAATGATAATAACATGTAATCTGTAATCTGATCCATAGGTACGGGTCTCGCAGTCGGAAGTGTCTTCTCTTTGCTGATCTTTCGCCGAAGACTTTGGCCGATAATATTTGGTTCAGGGATTGGATTGGGTTTTGCGTCCAATCAATTGCAGTCGGATTTGAATCGATTGAATCAATGAATTCATTGATCGTCTATTGAATGCATAAATAATTTGTTAATAAATTAGTTTTTAAATTGTTTTATTGGATATAATTTAGAAAAAGTAATGTTTTTAAGTAATAGTTATTAAATTAAAAGCTATTTCTTATATACAGTCTATTGCTTTGCAATTAATTAGAAAATAATTAGAATTGATGTCAAATATATGTAAAATTCAATATAAAATCTCCGAAATAATCAAATTATAAAACATTAGAGTTTTTCCACAAAACGAATTGAATTACATTATAATTACAATTAAAACAAAATTAATATAAAATAATATTCGTANCGGAGATTGTGGTCAACGACAAAGTGGTTGGAGTAATGGGTGTTTTGCACCCGCAAGTGATCACTAATTTCGATCTGTCGCAGCCCTGCTCTGCACTCGAATTGTCTCTTCAGACTCTTATTTCCAAACAATAATACAATTATTTATTTACAATATTTTGAATAAAATACAAAATAAACTTATTATGAAAAGAAGTGTTTTACCATATTTTAATACTGTATTTGCTATAGAATTATAATATAGTGAATCTACTATTGATGTAATCAACAATATTTCTTTTATAAAATTTGTATTAAACTTTAAAAATGGAATTTAAGATGAATAGCTTTATTTACCATGATATAATTGGATTAAAGCATGACTTTTGATGCATTACTATATTACGATTTACGATGGTAATAATTTTATAAAATGATTCAATATTTATGCAATTAATTATCAATATCGTTAATATATTACAGTATATACAGTACAGTATGAATGTGTTGTTTAAATATAAATCTAATATATTATACATTGAATGAAAAATAAGATATACTGCATAAATAGATAATTGATTAAGAATGAAGAATGCTTAACATTAAACCCAATTACAGTATATGGCATACTGTACTTCTACATTCTGTCATTACATTAACCATGCTGAAGCTTACATTAAGAATATTTTATATCAATTTAATTCAATAGTGTTAATAGATTTAAAACATTTACAATAATTATACTATTTATTTAAAACTAAAATTTACATAATAATGAAATAAAACTTTAACAAAAGAAACTCATATACAATGAACCGGTTTTTATGATATCATAATTACAATCATATTTATTGATCCAATCCATAGCTTTGTCATGACTTCTGTTTTCTAGACGTCATCCAAAGCCACACATTTAGAGTACAGTTAAGTCTATGGCATACACTCTATGCAGTGTAAACGGTGTGTGGTATATATGTCCGTATAGTGTTTTCCATAGGAAAGCATTACAAGAGTAGAATATTATAACGCGTGTAGATCAGGCGTATGTTAACCGATTTTAATAAACTCAGATATTTTTGAACAAGTATAAACTTTTTTTCATTTCTAGGTACTCATTATATAATTTCAATAATGCCACGATTATTTTAATAACAATATTTAAACTGCTAGCACTTTTTTGTAAAATAACGAGAAAAAATTTAGTTTATTATATCTAGAATTAATATATAAGACAAAATTTTTAAAAAATAGTATGAATTTATATCAAATGTGTTTTAATTATCACAATAAGTTTGATGGTTGCCATTTGTAAACTATTTTAATAAGATATAATGCATAAATGAAGAATTTTAGAATAAAATGATTGTGTAAAATACAGATGGACAAATTTAAATATTATGCCAAATAAACTTATAACTTATCATGATCAACCAATAAAATAAGCACCACCCATTTGACACGGCAATTTTAGTAAATATACTAGGTCGTTACAGTCTGACTATAATTGAAATGTGAAATTTTTAGATAAAATCGTTCTTGGAATTCTAAACGTTGGTTGATTAGAATATTCGGTATGGCAAATTAAATTTCAATTATTCCTCTTAAGTTTCCATTACATAAGAAAATTAAAAATATTCTTTATCATAAGTAAAATGGCTATCATAAAAAAGTCATTTATACGGACATATATCCCACACACCCTGTATAGTGTAGTGAACAGATAGAGCATAGCATGAGAGCCATCAACATTAGAAACATTTACGGCTTGTCTGCGAAGTCATAGAATGAATGCTATGATTGCCATTCATTATTGATTTGCTTTCAATTCACAATATTTTTGTTCATAATATATCATATATTAAACATATTTTGCAGCAATATTTGCGATTCCATTGTTTTTCAATAATTAATTTAGTGATTAAATTATGACATTTTTTGAATCGTTTTATTAAATACTATATTGATTTACATCTCAAACAGATCTGAATAAAAGATCCGTTAACCAAAGAATGTGAGCTTTTATTATATATTACTTTCTTAATGATTTAATATATAATTAATTAATTATATTTTTTATTGATATACATTTCTTTTATTTAATGTATATTTTAAATGAATTTAAAATCATTGATTTCAATGTAGATTTTTAACAAGTAATGCAGTGAAGACATTTTGCCCCTTAATATTAATATAATATTCTATCAGTTATTGCGAATACTTATTAGTTATTAAATGAAGTTATTCTTTCATTCATATTAATAGCAAATATAATATTAATTAATTAATTAATTATAATATTTATTAATTTATTATAATAGTTATTAACATATTATAAATTTATTCAGCGTTAACTGTGAGGATGTCGTCAGTAAAAGTTGCGGTTCGTGTCCGACCCTTCAATAATAGGGAATACAGTTATAACTGCAAAAACATAATCTCAATGACCGGCCAAACGACAAGTAAATTGATTAATGACTTATTGTTTATTAAATTCTGTTTGACATTAATCAATGTTTTGCCCATTTGTGTCATAAATAGCAATATCTAACCCAAAAATAACGGACACTTACAAGACATTTACATTTGATTACTCGTATTGGTCTCACGATTCTTCTGATCCCAATTACGCGGACCAAGAAGTGGTCTATCGAGACATCGGAGAAGAGATGTTAGTACACGCCTTCGAGGGCTACAATGTGTGTATCTTCGCATACGGCCAGACCGGTGGCGGTAAGAGTTATACAATGATGGGTAAACAGGACGACGAGGGCATTATTCCTCACATTTGCAAAGACCTATTCCATCGAATCCAATGCGAAG